GGTATAAAATACTCCGCTGGCAAGGCCACGTAATTTGACCTTTTGCCCACTCGGCTACTCCGTAACAGGTCTGAGTAGATGAACGGCCCAGCGGGTCAAAACTTTTGTCCTCGCGATGGGCGAAGAGCATCAGATTTTCGTCTCTGCGCCGTTTTTGTGCTACGCTCCCCCAGGAGCGTCAGGCCGCAAGCATGATCTCAGAAACGAGTGCCAGACCTGCCACCAATGTACTCCCGGTTTAGCATTTCATTCGATGTCGGTTGGCCATGCATCTTTAGCCCCCGAAAAGCCTCCTTCTTCAGGCAATCGCCGCATCCCATTGCATCGGCTTGTGGGTTGCGACGTGCTTCGATTTTCCTGAGAATGCTTCGATTTTCGGCGTCGTATTTGACAGACGTGACTACCTGTACTCACAGGCTGGGCTTTTACCTCAATGTCGCATGTGTTCGGAGACGGCGCCCACAATGGGGGAGGGGGATAACCCCCACCACACAAAAGCACTAAACACTGGAGATGGTGCAAAATGTGCGTTTTGCTCGAGTTTTGGCAACACGACCGCGGCACATCAACAAACACGGTGTCCCAACGCACGTCCCCCTACGGCCACCCTCACCACGCTTTTGTTCTACTCCGCACAGCTTCGGTCGTCCGAGGTCATGAACGTGAATCACCAGAGGCTGCAAAGCTCTGTTTGGGAGGTGCAGGCCGTGATAATCTGCTTGGAGCGCATGGAGACTGAGACACAATGAGACACCTGTGATGCCAGGGCAAGATGGGCCAGGGCCCCGTGCAAAGTCCCCAGGCTCGGCCTGGTTGGTGAGTCCGAAGCTGCGAAGCTGTGAAGTTAATGACACTTTAATGTTAATGATTTGCCCTGGTCCGTGGAAGCGGCTCGGACCATGTACAGTATCGAGATTGGCGAGGCGGAGTCACTGGGAGGCCCCAGAGCTTCGCAAGGAACCCTGAGCTGCAAAGGGCTTGCGTCTGCCGGCCCAGGCCAAGGTAAGTGTCGCCGAGAAGTAGAAAACGCGTGAGACAGGCCGATCAGAGGTCAGAGGTGAGAGTCACAGCGCTGGAGCTTGCAGCACGGGAAGCATAGGCCGACGGCAGGGATCTTTTAGGTTCAAGTCTCAGTACATTGCGCATCAAGACGCAGCCTACAAGGCGGTAAGTAGTCTGTTCGGCCATGAAGTCTCAGCCTCAGCATCTTTCTTCGTGCCTGTCACACCCAGAGTTCCTGAACATGTAGCCTCAACGTAGACAAGTCGAAAAGTGTGATAAACACTCAGTGCTGCTGAATCTTTTGTTCGTTCTGTTCGAAAGTCACGACGTGACGCAGGGACACGAACTTCTTTCGGGTTTCGCTCAGAAGCAGGCTTCGACTCAAATACACAGTATTAAATCCGAGGCGTAGTGGCAAGCAGTTGCAGTGCATATTGCCTTCCTTGCCGTTCTTCACAGGGAGTGAAAACGAACCTCCCCCGCAGTTATGTAGCCCTGGGCAACTCCCAGGCCCGCAAATGGGCCCGGCACATCTTTCGTGGAATCTTTGGCTCACTGAGGGCCACGCCAAGAACCTTTGCCAACCGGGAGCCGCTCCCGTCGCCTAGAGCACCTTGGCGGCACAGAGCTGCACATGTCAGGGACATGGCGTCATGGCGCCTGTGGCGACGTTCTGAGGTTGGACAATCATCCGGTGCGGTCATGCGCCCTGCCATGACCACAGCTTTGCGGAGAACCGCCGCCATTGGATTTCTTGTCTCTTGGCCGAAGACAAGTAGCATCTTCAAAGGTTCCTCCAAGGCATGCCCTGGCTTGATTGGTCGCACGTCGCCACAATGTCAAGCCTCAGGAAGAGAAGCTTCACATGCAGGCAGAGCCTTGGGACTGACTAGAGGAAGCACCGCAATTCTGAAAGCCTTGCGCAAGCGGCTGGACTGCATGCCTTTCAATGTGGTGCTAAGGACACAGATCGACCGTGCACTAGGGAACTTCTTTACAGAGGTGTGAGTGCAGATGGCCACGGTCGCACGGAGCTTAAGCACACCTGCGTGCATGTAGGGCCACTGCGCGAAAACACCGTGTCAAAAACCTGACGCCCGCTTCCCTTCCAGGCAAGGAGTATCTGCGCAGACGTGCGGGATATGGCATTGCGGAGAGGTATGGGCAGCCACAGACGGAAGCCCAAGTAATGAGTTTGAGCTTTTTGGCATGCACCCCGAGCAGCTGCCAGAGGGCCGTACTTTGGGCATGCACCTGCGACTCAGGCTTGAGGCTCAATCCTGGAGAACTTCGCCCACCTTCATTCGGGAAGAAGCCAATCATCGCGAATACGTCACTTGGAATGCATATTGCGTAAGGGCCCAGATAGGCCCAAGCTTGAGCAGGCGCATCTCAGTAAGGTTCTATCGTACGCGCGGAGCCGGCGGCTTCAAAGAAGCTACTGCTGACAGCTGATGTGTAATGGGACGGGAGGACACTTCAGAGGTATGGGTAATTGGCCTAGTAGCTCAAATCTTGAGATCCCGAGGCCTAGATGGGGGAAGCGTCTCCTCTTCAGAAGATTCAAAGTACAAAAAGAGGCTAAGGCTAAAGTCGGCTAAAGGCTCTTTTCTTGGTGCCCCAGGCCGAGAGCTTCCCTCCAAGGCTTTCTCGTTAGCAGTGGCATGTTCCGGAGACGGCCTGTGCTTGCCACTAGCGCTGCCAACCTGGCTTTTTGGTTTCTGCGTCGCCGAAGGCAGCTCGCAGGATTCCTAGGTCTGGTCTTTTCCAAGGTCCCTTGGGCAAAGCCTTCCGTCCGAAGCCGATGCGACACTTTGCCTGAGCTGAAAACGAAAGGTTCTGACAATATAATATAACATAACATAATATAATATAATATAATATAATATAATTTAATATAATATAATATAGTATAAAATAGTATAATATAGTATAATATAGTATAATATAGTATAATATAATATAATATAATATAATATAACATAACATAATATAATATAATATAATATAATATAATATAATATAATATAATATAATATAATATAATATAATATAATATAATATAATACAATATATATCGATACTGAAACCTAAGTTGGCCAA